CAGAAATCCTCTTAGCATAATTTGGCCAGGTGACAGGTATGGCATGTCATCTCTCTGTCCTATGAAAGTAGCTCTGAGCATCCCTGATGCAGTCAACAAGTAGATAGTTTGGAATCCCTGAAAAGAGTTGGGTCTTTGGCTAACTGCTTATAAGGCAACAGGATCTTTACCGCTAAAGAAAAGATCTCAGGATACACAGCAAGATTGTGCAAATTTGAATTATAGGCCATATTTTTAAGATTATTCTCGGTTATTAAGAGTTTAAAATTGGAGTTGAATTTAAAAATAATTTGGTAAATTACTATGACTGAAGCTGTAGTTTATTGTATATTTAGTTTATGTAATTGATATATTCACATTTGGCAGAAAAAAGACACACAGTTCGTGCTTTCAAATAAATGACAAGGAATTGTTCTATCATGAATTTGTGTCAGAACTCTTCAAACTAAAATAAACTGACTGAGGTAAGGTCGTGTTCATTAGATAAGTTGATGTGTATAAAAAGCATCTAGAGCAAGGTGTTTGGCACATGGCAAATATGTGGAAATTATTAGTTATTGTCAGGCTGTCTTATAATCTGTCAGCTAAAGATCATGCACCTTGAATTTCTATAGCATCTTGCCTTTTATCTTCTTTATGAAAGGTGTAATGTATATACTTATGCCTCCGGTATGTTCAGTATGACTTTGAGCCCAGAAAATTGAAACTCCAGTGACATCAACTTGTCCAGGTGGCACACATTTGAGAATTCAACCCTGGTTTCAGCTTGCCTTTCAAAACCCATACTGTTTGCCTTTAAGGGGTCGGGTTGGAGGGGTAGGGAGAAGGGGGCAGAGTATACCTTTTGCCTTGTATTTTAATATGTGATGTTGTCTTCTTCCTTTGCTAGGTTCTAAGCTTTTTGAAGGCAGGAATTGTGCCTTACTTGTCTTTGTTTCAAGGTTTTAAGGGTCTACATATTACTCTACTATGTTCACTTACTGGATGTTGAGTGAATGAACATAAGTGAATATGATGTAATTTTCTTTTCTTAGAAAATGGTGAAACTATAAGCAGTTTTGTTTTTTTTTTAAAGAAAGATAATATTACATTGCTGTCTCTAGAGGAAGCCTGGACTATTTCTGGCCTCTGAGAGGATATATTTACAGGATATATTTACTTATCATTTGTATTCTGTTAACTTCCCAAAAGAATTTGTCTGGAGTACTGAGCACATGTACTGTTTGTTGGCCCTCTTGACCACCAGGTCTTAACATTTATTTTGAGCTTGCTAGTTTGAAAAGTGACCTGAATGCTAGAACATGAGGATAGGGATTTGAGCCATCCTAGCCATGTTCTCTCCTTTATTGTCATTTTAATAAGAAACTTGTATAAGACAAGTACATTTTTTTTTTAAATATATTACAGATGATGAAATCAAGGGTTAAGTCAAGGAAAATGCTTATAATCACAGGGAGTAAATACAGAAGTCAAGTCTTGATCCCAGTTTTGTCCACCTTCAGAGCCCATGGTCTTTTCATACTCCTTTTTTTTTTTTTTTTTTGGTAGTTGGTAGACTGCCCTTCTAGTTTCTAAACTTAAGGCGTTTCCAAGTAATTTAAGTCATGATTTTTATATTTTATGTCTAGAAATAAAATTTACATAGCTAAGTGAAAATGGGATTCTAAATGGTTTCATTTTAGAAGTCAAATGTTAAACCTTAATATATGCTTATCTTAGATGTAGATTCTTTTGCAATTTAGAATCAGTTTGACAAATATGCACAGGCTGCTCAAATGGAGTAGCTGTCTGTTATTAAGCATATCTTCTTATTCTGAACTTTGAAACTCCTGGAGGGCACATTCCTTTCATGTGTCCTTGTTCCTGAAGTCCCTAGCCCATTGCCTAGTACTTAAAAACGTTTATGGAATTAATAACTTGAAGGTTCACCAACACGAAGAATTTTATTTCCTTTAAATCAGGCATTATTAAATAAGAGATCCTACTCCCCTATGTGTCCCCCTTCTGCATTTTATTTTCTTGATTGTCAGCTAGGTATTTTCGTTCTGGTTTATCACCACCCCTCCCAAGACACACACACACGCATGCACGCGCACATACGCACACACAAACCATGTTCTTTTCATGAATGCATTTTTAAAAGAATCTGGCATAGGAATTGGGGAATATATAATAATAAGGCAGGCATAGTGATGCCTACAAGGACTTTATCCGTGTAAGAAATGATTATGTCATTCTTCTGTTATTAGTTGATTTTCATGAGATTTGGAGGATGTTCTTGTCTAATATAAAATACAGATTGTATGCTATATATGAAATTAGCCTTGGTTGGCCCTGGAAGGAACCCTAAGATTGTTCTAGAAAATTTTATAGTAGGGTACAATAAGAGGCTCATGGAATTACTAATCTGTGGAAACACACCATATATATTAAGGCTTCATGATGAGAGAAGATAATTCTTTTCTGTAAAACCCAGATTGGCAGTCGGGTAGTATTTAAAGTGTTGGTTTGCAGTTAGTTACTTTTCATGTGAGCAGATCTACATAGTATTCTTTCATTTCTGGATTTGCTGATTTAAATATGGTTAACAATTTTCCAGGGTGAGGCTTTCTTGACCAGCTAGTGGCAATAAGAGGACAGATTAGTGTTGCTGGTGGGTAGAAGAGGCGCAGCCACCATAGTGTTGTATCCTTTTCTCCTGCTGTCCAAGAGCTCGTTGACTTTACTCTTGGGACAGGAGGCTTATTGTTTCATGTTATCAGGCATTTGGGGGGAGTTGTTGCTGACTTATGGACTCCCAGTAGTACTGAGAGCTATATAAAGCCCCAGAGTTAGTGGAACATTGGGACATCTGCAGAGACCAAAGGAACAGCTGCAGTAGCAGCCATTGCTTAAGTTTATGTTGCAAAGAAGGAAGTCAAATTGGCACAGGTTGGTGGTGTGGGACCAACCTCTGGCTTGGTCATTTCAGAGTCTATGGAATGGAAACTGAGTATTCCCTTTGTAAGTCACTGATAGCGGACTTCAGACTTCCTAGTTGATCAAGAGGAGAGATTGTTTCATCTTTCATTTGGGAGGCTGTATCAACAGTGTTTGCAGTTGGTCTCAAAGGAATTGCATTGAACTTTTTAGTCATTTTAAACCACTTAATTTCTTGCCTTTTAGCAGTTAATAAAGAAATTAAAATGACTCCGTGTAGTCATTTATAGGAGTAAAATGGAAATGCTATTTAAGTGACTATGATGGACAGTTTCCTGAAGGGATTAGTTAAGTGAAGTTTTTAGAAATGTAAGCCTGTGAGCTGCCAGTTAGAAGTGGGAAACTGGAATTGGAGCTGCAAGATCTAAGGTGGCATAAGGCTTGTATAGAAAGGTAAAGGCAACCACAGGAAATCAGAAAAAAATTTGGCTTAAGATAGTATGAACTAAGAACTAGCATATGTTGGATATTAGAAAGTAGAATTAAACAGTTTTATATTCCTGTTGTGGTTATGGCTCTAAGTCCAAATTCCTTTTAGGGTTTCTTACCTTTCTCTGTAGTACCCCACCACCACCCCCAAACACACACATATACATACACAGGAAGGTGGATTAGAGGAAGCAGCAGGAAAGTGACAAAACAGCACAGGAGAAAGAAAACCAAATGAAGAGTGAGGAGACCTGGTTTTGGCATCTGACTTCAACAAGTTGCTTTAAGAGCCAGCAGATTAAATTGGGATTAATTGGGAATTTCATCAGCTAAAAGACAGCTTTTGTTTTGGTTTTTCTTCCATAAATCTTTATGAAGCCTACAAGTTGGATTTTAGAATATTAATGGTCTCTTTCTCTAACTGTATATCCCTGATAATTTTGAACAAACTCAGGGAAAGTCAAGTTATAGAAACTTGAACATTCATATTGTTTTCTTGAGTATGGCTCTGCTGTAATGAGTAATCTGGTGGAAGTCAATTCTGCAAGAACTGGAAATAAGGCAACTGAAACTAGTGTATTGATTTACTAACTCATTGTGTTGGAATATGATGAGAATAAGCAAGTGAAAAGAAGTAGTAGGATCCATAAAGAAGAGGTTAGAATACAGATACCTGGACCCCATTCTTCAAACTCCTGAATCCTAAATACATTTCTGGTGATAGAGCTCAGAAATGGTTTTTTTTTGGGGGGGTAGCCCCCGAAAGAAGTCTTTCTAATGAAAAGCCAAATTTGGAATTCACAGACTTAATTTTATTCATGAGCACCTCTAAGAACTATCATTTTATTTTAGGAGTGTTAAAGCTGAGGTAGCCTTTCTTAAGCTTTAGCAGTGGATTGGTAAATTTCTTAACCCCGGAGCAGTAGAGCCATTAGATAATAGAATTACAAGGGATATTAAAGATAATCTTATACAGAGGCCAACAAACTATGGTCCATGGACCAAATCTGGTCCTCTACCTGTGTTTTGTAAATAAAGCTTTATTGGAAATAGCCAAACTCATTAATTTATTCATCTGTGTCTGCTTTTGTACTACAAGAGCGGAGTTTTGCAGTTGCAGCAGAGACGATGTGGCCCACAAAGCCTAAAATATTTCCTGTCCCTTTACTGACAGAGCGTGCCAACTTTTGAACTGATCAGATCTGTCATTCTATATATGTAGAAATAAGACTAAAAGATAATGAGTGAAATGTTCGGAGATTACACAACTAATTGGTAGTTAGAGTGCAAATACAGTATAGTTCCCTTTTTTCCTGCTTTCAGTCCATTACTTTTTGCTGGAGCAACTGATACCTGAGTAAGATCAGAAAATATATTTGTGGTACAGAGTTTTGTTTATATTAATTATATTATGAAACACAGTTACTATGAATAGTAGTCCAGGTCTTAGATAACATGGCTCTACAGAAACCTTCTAAATTTGGGTCAGGGGGTAGAATTTGATTGTAGTATATTCTGTTTCCTGAGTATAAATCTTTGGTTTGACCTATTGAGTAGTTTGATAACAAGATTCTTTTCTGTTGCCTGTGCAGCCAAATGGTCGGACTGTTGAAGTGGCTGACGAGGAAGCTGTCCAAACTCCTCGAAGTATTACAGCAAAGCAGCCCTTAGAGACAGATAAGAAAAATGAAAAGGTAAGCTTGAGAACATATGAAATTATATGCAAAGCTCTTAATAAAGAGAGTAACATATAAAAGTGATGCTTTTCTATTTCACAAAAATGTACATATACTCCCCGTTTAAGGACAACTGAAAATCTGGGACATAGGTGGTGCAGGTTTAAGTAAGTTGTTTTGTTTTTTTACTTTTAAAAAGGAAGGATATATCACCAAGTATTTTAAACATGCTGTGGCATTATTAAATACTCATTTTGCCAAAAGAATTTACTCATGACTTGAACATCTTTTATATGAGTAAGATTCCAGGTATGTAACATCCCTCTTATTTGAAAACAGAATTGTGTTATCTTTGTTAATAGTGCACTTCTGACATAAAAAGCTTACCAAAATTGTTCTCTGGTATTAAGGGTTGAAATAAATTTCTGTTCTGTTGGGAGATATAATTGTCTTCTTATTACACAGTTTGACTTTGTTTAACAAAAGAGAATGTTCTATATTCAGGTCATTATTAAAAGGTTTGGATGTGCACTCTTAAGTTTTCAAATAAGACAATCTGTCATACCCCATAAATGGTACATTCCTGGGATTTTATTCATTTTTCGGTTTTCAGTGTTAGAACTGACCCAGTTTTTATTTGACTTAATTTAGTTTGTAAGTAGGCAAAATGTAAAAAACTGTTAACAGTGGGTTCTGCTGTGGGAGAGCGACTTTTCATTTAAGTCCTTTTGGTACATTAAATACTTGTTCCCCCCTCCCCTTTTAAAACCCTACACATGCATAACTTCTTTTCAAGAAAGACAGACAAAACAAAAAATAACCAGAGGTAGGTAAGTGGTTTCTAGGAACCAGAATGCAACAGTTCCAGTCCTACAGAATAGTAGTATGAAATGGTTGCTACTACAGTTTCTGAATGCTTGCAACTTCAAAATGTCTTTGAAGAACTGGCAAGATCAATTCTCCCCCTGTAACCCAATGAAATTGGTCTAGGGCCACGACAGTTGCAGGTGGGATGGCTTAAAATGAAGGATAGTTGTGGGAAAGAGTTAAATTTATGCCTGATTTTGCCTTTGGCAGAAAAATAAATAGTAAATGACTTGTATTAGCAAATAAGGGTATAATTTCGGGATTGTGAGTTTACAGAATAAATAGTTTATATGTCTAATAATGGATTTATACTTCTTCCATCTAAAGTTTCCTTATTTCTGGGCTTTCCACTAGTGAGCATTTTATGCTTGTTCTTGCTTCCAGTTCCTGAATTATCCTATAAAATTTGTAGTTGGAATAATTGATGAACTACCATTCATTTCTGATTGATGAATTATATAGATTGGGTGCGTGAGGATGTAAAACTACAGTTTAGAGTTTATAATCATTCTGAAATTTCTGATAGAAAATAGTTATAATTGACATTTGTTAAGTATCCATAATATGGCAGGCACTGTGCAAGGTGAGGTGTGTGTATACGTGTGAATATATTTACATATATCTAGGAGAGACAGGTTACTGAGTACCTACTGGGTATATTTTTAAGACTTTATAGAATATTTATATGTTCTTTATTTGTGCTCACAAGAGCACTGAGGAGGTGGTATTATACCTGTCTTATAAATAAGAAACCTGAGGCATAAGTTATCACAGCTACTAAAAGTAGTCAGTTCTATCCCAGACCCATCTGACTTCAAAGTCTGTGCTTTTTACTGCTGTGTATGATTTCTGATCCTTTCATAAACTCTACAAGGCAAATAGTAAGAGCCCCATTGTACAGATAAGGGCTCCGAGGCACAGAGGGATTTTGCAGTTTCACTCATTTCATAGATTTCTGAAGTAGGATTCGAATCCAGCTCACTCTGGTGCCAAAGCCCGTGCACTTGTTAATCACTTGATGGTACCGCCTCCTTTCAGTTGCTGTTGATTTTAAGGACAAAGCTTCTGCCTTTGGTTTGCTGCCTATTTGATTTGACTTTTTGCATAGTAGTAAATGCTGCAACTCATGGCTAGTGTTTCTTTTTGCCATCTGCATCTTGAATTTATGCTTTTTAACCTGGTTCCAGTCCAAGAGACCTCATTTCAGTTAATTTTTTACGTTCTTGCACTGTGTATGTTTTTGTGCGTTTTAAATGTGTTATTTTAAGACTTTTTATTACTTTTTTTGTAAAGATGCTTATCGTAGATCTACTTAGAAACCTTAAGACACATTATTGTCTGTTTTCCTCTCAGAGCCACATCTTGGCCACTTTGAGAAGTACAGTTTGCCTATAGAATAATTGCAGTCTAAGCCGTGATACTGAATACCTTGCCCTGTCACTTGAGTAAACCTCACAGAGAAAAACATTGTCTAAAAACCATGTTTGACAAGAGTTATAGATCTTGGGTCTATAAAGCAAGTTAAACTACCATAGTTGTCTAGGTCTTTATTTGGCTGTGAAGGTCAATGCTTCATTGATACTGGTCTCTAGCAGAGTCCACATAGGACCATTAGCTAGGCTGAATGCATTGTGCTGTTAGATGCTGAAGGGAATAAGAAGAATGGAAGATGTACTTAGCCCTCAGAGAGATTGCAGTCTAGTTAAGGAAGTGCAAGCACAAGAGAAGATACCAGGTAACAAGGCTTTGAGTGCCAGATATTCAGAGGAGTAAGATTATCTATTCTATTTGGGTGGGCAGAAAAGATTGACTTAGTAGGACTCTTAAGGGTGGGGATGGTATTTCAGTAACTAGAAGTGAGGAGGCCAATTCTGGCAGGTGAGAGAAACAAATGAACACAATCAGACATTATTCAGCTGAAGCAAAAGAGCATATTCAGACATACTCAACGGAAAGCCCTAGACAAGTTTGACTGGTCACAGTGGGGTTGGGGGTATGATAAAAATAGGTATGTTCAGCTGGCAGCAACATTTATGAAAACAAATCAGGTTTGCATCAATGATTATGAGGGTCTGAGTTAAAACAAGTGTAAAGATCATTAGAGAAACAATAGAAACAAAAATGTATGAAATTTGGTCACTGTCAGGTTGTTCAGGATGAAGTCATTGGTGTCCTACTGAAATACTAATATCACTCATGATAAGTATTAATAAGCTCTTATATTTTTATGATGCTACAATAATACAAATATTTTCACATCTCTTAACCCTGATGAATAACTGTTGGTTGGGGAAGGAGGGGAGTATAATCATTTATTTCAAATCCAGCTCATTAAAAAGAGTTTAGTGGATTGCCCAACATCACATAGCTAGTAAATAATGATCCCTCAATTTTGCGGGGGCACCATTTCTCAAAGTGTGGTTTGTGGACCCCTGGGAAAGGGCCTCGGGGACCTTTTGTTGGGTCCAGCTGTTTTCATAACAACAAGAGACATTTGCCTTTCTCAGTGTGTTGATATTTGCATTAATGGTACAGAAGCAATAGCAGGTAAAACTGCTGACCTCCCTAGCACAAATCATGACTGTGACACCAAACTACTAGTAGCTGTATTCTTTATTGCAATCCACTCACAATTAACGAGAAAAAGAATGCCAATTTCACTTGAGTGTCCTTAAGCTGTGAAAATGATCATTATTAGTTTTATTAAATCTTGACCTTTGAACACATGCTTTTTAATTATTTTGTATGATGAAATGGGAACTATACATACGGTGTGCTGTGTAGTGAAGAACAGTGGTTGTCTTGAGGAAAAACACCAGTACAGTTGAATTACAGTCCTGACTAGCCACCACTTTGTTCATGTTGCTCCATTTTAACATGAAAGAAGAGCTGATAGATAGGCCATGGTGATTTAGACTTGGGTATTTGCAGACATTTTCTCAAAAACAGTCAAGATGATCCTGTCAAGGAAAACAACATTTAGTATTTATTGCAAATGATACAATGATTTGTTTCCAAGTGAAAATTAGAAATTTAGAAAATTTGTATCTGCTACCATGAGCTTGACAGCATCTCAGTGCTTAAAGAACTTCTGATGAGATCAATTGTGATATTAACAATTGTGATTTTTAAAAATACGGTATACAATGGAATATTTTAACATTTTAGAAGATGTGTGTGACTCACTGAACTGGTATTTTCCAAATGACCAATGCTTGCATGTTACAAAATCAGGCAAGTGTAAAAGATTCATTCAAAGTGCAGGATAGACCAATAGAGTATGGGAAAGTTCATCGATACAGATTTCATGTTGCAACAGTTTTTAAGAAACTACCACTTGACAAGTTTTGGCGTAATATTTTTTTCCTTCCTCTGCTTAAAACTCTTCACAACTTCCCATTGCTCTTATGCCACAGGCTTGAACATAACCACTCAAGTCTCTCTTCCTATCCCTGACCCTCCCTAAGCCCAAACACATTGGTTTTCTGTCTTCCTTTTTTATTAAACAGCTTTATTTTGAGATATACTGTGAAATTTATTTTGTTAAAGTATATGATTTCAGTGTATCTGCAGAGTCATAGTGTAGTTTTTGAACGTTTTCCTCTTCCCAAAAAGAAGTCTTGTGCCCATTACCAGTCATGCCCCATTTTCCCCTCTTCCTCTCAGCCCCAGCTGATCAACCACTAATCTTTGGTGTAATATCAAAGAAGAATGCAGTTATCTGAAAAAACTATTAAGACAGTCCTCCTTTTTCCAGTTACATATGTATGTGTACGTAGCCAGGTTTTCTTCATCTGCTTCAAATAGTGTGTCACACAGTACAATTAAATGCAAAAGCAGGTATGCAGGCTTTTATGAAGCCAGACACTAAAGATATTTGCAAAATGTAAAGCATACCACTGTTCTCACTAAAATGTTTTTTGTTGTTGTGGAAAATATAGTTCATATAGATGTAATTATACAGTATGTAATTAGTCTATTTTTTGAAATTAATTAATATATATCTAAATAATATCTTAGTTTTAATTTATAATATGGTAGATATCGTTAGGTATAATCCATGTAAACAAAGGCTCTTTGACATCCTCAGTCTGTTTTAAGAGTAATCCTATATCCAAGAAGTTGTGAGAACCACCACTCTAGGAGTAATC